GTGTTTGTGCCTATAGAAGGAGATAATAATAGTTCTGATATCATGTGGTATTCAGAGGTTTAAAATAAGAGACTGTACATGAAACTCTTTGAACAATGCCTTGTATGCAACTGGTGTTCAATAAATGATGGGTAGCATTTGGTTAAGGGCTATGGAGTTAGATGGACCTGGCTTCAAACCCAGCCTTCTGACCACTGGCTAGATAATTAACCTCTAAAGCTTTAATTTTCCCTCTGTAAAATTAAGACAATAATACTTACCTAATGGGGTTGTTGAAAGAATTAAGTAGCATAATGTAAGTCCCAGGTACTCAATAAATGTTAGCTCTTATTAGAGTTCTAAGTACTCATTTATGAGTGCATACCAGTTGCTAAGACAATAATAGACTGGTTGTTGGTATTATTATTTTTATGACTCAGACTCCCTATAACAACCTCAGTGCTGGCCTAGTATATGACAATAGTCCCTTGTTGAGAGAGAAGTCTTGTTATAAGACAAGCTCTGCCTTTCCAACTGACACCAGTCTGTGATCAGCTTTTATTTCCTTAGAATGTGTGACAAACTTAACAAAAAATGTGTTCCTGAGATTATAGGTTTCATTCCTATGAACCTCAATCTCCACACTTTGTCACTCATTAGATTATTTTTAATACAAAATTTCAACTTGCATAACTTCTGCAATAAAAATAATAAAGGGGTTTTAATGTATTTAAAGTAATTGCAAAAATGTCACTGCCAATGGCCACAAGCTGCTGGACACCATAGTAACCTTCCTTCTCCCTTCCTCCCAATCAGGCTGAGTGGAGAAGGAGTTTCTCCAGTTAATATCTGTGAGTATGACATCCTTTTTGTGTTATTTGGAGTGTGTGTGCTTGAGGGAAGGGAGGTGGTGGGCTTGCAGAAGGGGAAAAAGTATTAGGGGGATTCCACTGAAAGGTTACGTTCTGAGAAGTTTTAAGGGTTTTGCTGTTGTTGTTGTTGTTGTTGTTTTTGGATATACATGACAATGCAGTATTTTGACATATCATACATACATTGAGTACAACTTCCCATTCTTGTGGTTGTACATGATCTGGAGTTACACTGATAGGAAATGTGTGTCTGATTCATTCTACCATCTGTCCTATTCCCATCCCCTTTTCCTTTCCTTCATTCCCTTTTCTCTAATCCAATTTGAGTTTAAGGTTTTGAGTCTGTTTAAAAGAAATCCATATTTGGAGAGAGGCTTTAATATGACATTTCTGACCTCTTTATGAATGACTGGGGAGGGGGGTTGCTGTAATTGTTCCACATGGGTTTAGAAAACCTCTGCCATCTCCCTCATCTCCCAGAATTCCACACCTGAGACTGGGGGCTACAAGTCTAGCTCAGACCTCCAAGATGAGTGTCTGATGTAGATAGAACCTAGGAAAAATCACTGGTTTGCCTTGGGTCTCTGGAGGCAGCCTTCATGCTAGGCACCAGGGCCTGGCCCATCAGGGGACCCTGCCTCCAAACAGTTTGGGAAGAATTCAGTGCGTGGCTCCACCTTGCAGAGCCCAACCACAGGAAATTGCCAGGGGTTTCCAGGCAGCCAGGGCATCATGGGACATGGCAGTTGGGTATAGCGGCCCCAATGCAGGAGAGGTGTTCCCAGCGTGCCATAAGAGCAGAAGTTGTTTCTCACAGAGCTCAGTGCTGGCATCGGGAGGCCAACAGAAATAACTTTGGCAACTCACACTCTACAAGTGAGTTTGGTTTTCTTGATGAAGGATTCATAAGAGCAACTGACTATACAAACCAGTGATCCTAGAAGCCAGAGCCCTCTGAACCACCCCAGCGTCCGCCTTCCCTAATGCCTCGTCTAGTGGTTCCAGACACCCTTGAAGCTAATTTGGGGAACAAATGGCAAAACATTGAGGTTCCTTTCTCTTGAAATACACCTGTGAGTCTGCATTAGTTTCCTAGGGCTGCTACAACAAGCGGGCTGGCCTACAACAACAGAAGCATATTTTCATAGTCCTATAGACGAGAAGTCCACCATTGGGGTGTCAGCTGGGCTGTGCTCCCTCTGAAACTTGTAGAGGAGAATCCATCCCTGACTCTTCCTAGTTTTTTTTTGTGGCAGCCATCAATCCTCAGTTGTCCTTGGCTTACAGCTGCCTAACTCTAGTCTCTGCCTCTGTGATCATGTGGCTTTGTCCCCGTGCACTTTCTTTAGCTGTCTTCCTTCTTCTAATCAGGACCAGTCACACTGGATCAGGGCCCACTCTAAAGACTTGTCTTAACTTGACTACATCCACAAAGATCCTATTTCCAAATGGGCCATATTCTCAGGTGGTTGGAGTTAGGGTTTTAACCGAGTTTTTGGAATGATGGTTCATCTGCTAAGAGTTCATTTTTCATTTCAGTTTTTCTTCTGTAAGACGGAAACCAGGGTATTCGAATGTCTAAGGCAATGAGTTAGGAGAATACCAGGTTGGTCGGAGAAAAGAGGCAGAGTTAACTGAACAACAGGTTCATCTTTGGTGTTTCAAGAATATTCTAGCCCCTCTCTGGGATTCATAAGGCCAAGGCTTGGAGATGAGAAGCAGCAGGATTGCCCCCTAGAACTTGCCAGAAGGAAGGGAGACTCAGAGCCAGGTCCAGAGAGGGACCTAGTATCAGATGGAGCAGCAGGGAGATGGTGGTGGAGTCACAGGGAAACAGCTTCCTAGAGAGTGGTAGTCTCCAATAGGTTCTAGAAGGAGAAGGGAGGTACCAAGTAACAGAAGAGAGGCAGCAAGCCATTCTAACCTAGAACACCCACACTACAGCTCTGGAAAGGCAGGCTGCAGCAGAGGACAGAATCTCACTAAGCAGGTGGGGAGATTGCAAGGAAAAACTGTTGCCTGCGAGAACACCCCAGACCCACCCCCAGGACCTCCTCAGGACACAGACCCTGGCAGCCCCGGTGTCGTCCCTCCTGTGCTTGATTCTCATTATGTCTCCTCTCTCCCGGCAGCTGTAGTCACCTCCACCGTTTCCAGTGGCCATGGCGGTGGTAGCAGCCTTGGAGGTGGAAGTCTGGGTCTCGGTGCAGGCAGCAGCTACTCCTTCACCACCAGCGGCGGGCACGGCCTAGGGGGTTCAGGATTCACTGCCAGTAGCAACCGAGGCCTCGGGGGCAGTGGCTCTAGTGTCAAGTTTGTCTCCACCACATCCTCCAGCAGGAAGAGCTACAAGCACTGAGCACAGCCCCTCAGCACCCTTGCCCCACCCTGAAGCCTGTTTCACTCACACCTAAACCTGGACATCCAGGTCCTTCCTCTTGTCTCCCTTCCACGAGGCCCACCTATGCTGCTGGGAAGCCTGGAGACCTGGCTGAACCCCACTCCCTGGCCAAAGGCAGTCTCCAGGCTCCTCCTGGAACCTGTTTTGTGCTAGCCATGCAAAAACCAAAGCCCTCTTTCTTCCAAAGTTCGCAAGAAGCTTATCTTGCAAGGCCTCGGCAGTCTGCAAACACCCCTTCGGCTCCCCCTTGCTCCCTCCCTCCCTCCAGTTGCAGTGATGGGGAGCCTGTGTCTCCGAGGCTGTTTCAATGCCAGCCTGTCCCAGTCTGGCTCAGGGTGCTTATAAACTGCCTGCTGGTCTGAGTGCTCCTTTGTTCCCTCCCCGGAATGTGTCTATTAAATGCATGTGTAATGTGTTGGCGTCAGGCCCTCTGTTTGCAAAGCTTATGGACCCAGAACAATCCTCCTCCTTCCCAGGCTGTCCCAGCACAGAACTCCTCACAAGCAGGCTCCCAGCACATCAGCCCTCGCCCCATTCCTTCGAAGCCAAGAGAGAGGTATGGGGAGGTCAGGAGACCACCAGTCTTCCTCCCCTAGCTTCTCCCACTTCTTCTTACCTCTCTTTGGGATACCTTGTTTGGAAAGCCCAAGCCCCTGGGCAGAGGCCTTGTCCAGCTTCCCTTTCAGTATGTCATACAGGGCGATGCCGTCCCCTGCCCAAACTGGACTGTTCCTGGGACACTGACGTAGGGTGGGCGGCCCAGCCTTCTGCCAGCAAAGGAGTCGATTGTTCCCTGACAGCTTCAAACTTGCAGACCTGAGCAGAGAAATAACAGGCCACAGAGAGGAGTTAAAAGTCAGCCCTGGGGCCAAGCAGAGGAGCCATTTAGACCATAATTGCAGGCAGCAGTGAGACATCCAGGAAGGTTCCACATTCCTGATTTTATGAGTTCCCTGGTCCCCTCCCATCAGGCCTGAGCCTGGGGTGTCCTGGTGGGCTCACCCAGAGTGAGGCTAAGGTGGGTTTGGAGGGGTTGGGCTCAATGCTCAGGACCAAGAGTGGAAATGATGAGAGGAACAAACCAGGGATGTGGAAACACTTGTGCGGGCGAAAGAGCAGGACATTAAAGGACAGGGGAGGGAGCAGACATGCATCAAAAGAGAGATGAGTATGAAAAATGTCGGGAGGATGAAGATTAAAGGAAGGGGAGAAACACTGAGAACAACTGTTCAATCCCCTGGTCCTCCAGTCCCCAGGGAAGGGCAAGTTAAGACCAGGGAAGGGACCAGTAGAGGGATAGAAATTTAAAGTGAAGCCTCCCCTTGTCCCTGGGCCTGACTTCTCTTCTGGGAAAGTCACAATGATTCCAGGCACGTAACCTGGTCAGACCACCAAGTTCTAATATTGGCCGGAAGGTTCACAAGCCTCTGCCAGGCTGCCTCATTACTCAGCTTCTATTGCTTCAAGAATAAAAATAGCTACTCCATAGTGATGTCCAAGGCTAATCAAGAGCACAGGTGTAAGGCAGCCACCCGCAGAAGCTGCTCGAAAAGCGTGGGCCGTCATCTTCACCATCTACCCTCACGGAGTTAGGAGAATCAAAGGAAATGACTCTCCTGGCAGAGCTGCCTCTTGGTCTGGCACAGACTGCATCCTCAGTAAACAGAATTTTTTTATTATTAAGTGACCAGAATGGGATGGGCATAGTCAGGTTCTTGGATTCAGAACCTGAGATCTGGAAATGGAGGCTGGAGCTGCAGATGAGAAGCAAGGGGAGTGTCTGTGGCCTGTGGCTGGAATGGGGTTGGCTGGGGGGCTCGGAACCCAGGCCTGCCACAGGCCGGAATCCCCAGGCCTGGTCCTGCCCTGGGTAGGGTGTTCCCCATGGTGATTAGTGGGGCAGTTAAATGGGCTGTGGCCAGACATGCCATTGGGGTGAACTCAACAGAGTGGTCTTTGATCTCCTCTGGCCAAGCCCAGTTCTTGAAAGGGATATAAGTCAAAGAGAGTCTTAGAGAGACAGACTTTGGACACTCCTCGTTCATTTTTGCTCCTTCGCCCTCTGGCATTAGCTCCCACCATGACCCAACGATCTTCCATCACCATCAAATCGGGGGGCACGCGGAACTTCAGTGCCTCCTCAGCCAGCCTCCTCCCGGCAAGCTGCCGGCCCAGCTTCAGCTCTGTCTCCATGTCCCAGAGTGGAAAGAGCTTTGGGGGCGGCTTTGGGGGTGGCTTCGGGACGAGGAGCCTCCACAGCTTGGGAGGAAGCAAGAGAATCTCCATCAGCGGGGGCTACCGCTCCAGCCGCAGCAGCTTTGGGGGTGCTAGCTGTGGGCTGGGTGTCGGTGGCCTAGGGTACAGAATGGGGGGAGGCTTTGGTGGGTATGGAATGGGAGGTGGGATGATGGCTGGAGCTGGGGGCATCCAGGAGGTCACAGTCAACCAGAGTCTCCTGACGCCCCTGAACCTGGAGATCGATCCCTCTCTCCAGCGGGTGCGCAAGGAGGAGCGTGAGCAGATCAAGACCCTGAACAACAAGTTCGCCTCCTTCATCGACAAGGTGAGAAACACATGGGTCCCCACCTGGAAAGCACTGAAGCTGGGGGATCTTAGCCTTCTGGTGTTTTTCTGAAGTCTATAATGACTTCCCAGGATCTGCAGTCTTAGAGACTAAGCAGCCTGCTGGTGGGGAGAGGGAGAGTGGTCTCCCACTTTGCTGAGCTGAGACCAAAAAAATTTCCCTCTTCAGACCCAAGAGCACTCTGACCCACTATGAGGACATTGCTCTTCTCGTGTATTTGGCTTAACATGAGCACAAGGGGAATGCATTTTGAGGGAAGGAGGTCAAGTTTACAAGTTCATGGAAGTGAGCTGCGTCTCTTTTTCTTACCCAGCTGAGTCAGCACTCATGTGTTCCCATGGCAGTAGGCATCTGCCTGGTGACACTGATGCCTGGGAAGCTAAGTGGGCAGTGAGGGGGCACTCAGAGCATTTAGCATACGTCCTTTGGTAAAAAGGAGACTTATGACTTCAGCCTGAATCCCACTCTGGGATTCTAGGGACTTCCCAACTCTGGGAAAGAGCCCCTGCATCACCATTGCACCTGACTGGTTGGTTTTGCCTGGGATGAACCAGTTCAAGGATCTTGATCTCTCAGACTCCATATCTGGAATCTGGAAGAAAGAATGCTGAGCTAAGAGGCAACCTGCCAGGTTCCAATTTGGTTCTACTGCTGCAAGAGTTGCCAATTTCTCGGGTGTGAGTTGGGTTGGACAGATGGATTCTAAGGTCCCTTTGTAGGTCTGACAAAGGGTATAGACAAGACCACTGAGCACACAGACCTCACCAAGAGCACTGCCAAGGCACTGGTCCTTTAGCTTTGTCACCCATGTCACCCCACCTAGCCTGGGTTGTACTAACAGAGGGGAGATTTTCAGGAGCCGGCTATGAAGAGAATATCCTGGGCCTTGCTTTTCCCAGGTTCATCTGGAGGGGATGAGGGAGATGAGGACCTGGGACTAGGGAGGGGCTTAGAGATAGGATGTTCTCCTTCCCCCAACAACAGGAGAAGCTAGAAAGGATGCATTTGTTAATAACTCTCTATAAGGACACTGCCATCTCCAAAGGCTTGGAGAAACTGTTCCTTTATTCATTTTGGTTCCTTTCAGTGGAAAGGCTTTGGTGAAGGGGAAGGGTAATGCCTCTCAGGCTAATTTAAGAAACTCAAATTAACAGCACAAAACCTCAAAGAACTCAAGAAAGCAAAGAGAGAAAGGGGCTTTTCTAAGGCCACCATGGCTAGTGAGGGACACAACTGGAATTGTGCCCAGGTCCCCCAAACACAACTCATGAGTGACCCCCTACTCAGAATTTCTGGAGTGTGCAGACTTAGTAGCCTACATTCTAGATCCTGAGAAATCCTTTCCCAGAAAATGGACAGATGGAATTTTCTGCCATAAACCTCCTACTCATGTAATAGAAATAAAAATCTCACCAGTGACATGGTGACCGAGGGTTCTTTTCTTACGTTAGCACACATCAGTATGGTTTGGTGTGTTCAGATGGCTTCCTGCACCTACTTCCCTACTTCGTCCCCCTTCAAATCAAACTACCACCCGTCCCCTAAGCCCCCTGCAACAAAATCTCTAAACCTCAGGATCGTTGCAGGCAATGGGGAAGAAGAGGAGAATGCCACGTGGATTCTGAGTCCTGCAGAGACTTCCTGAACTGCTGGGGGTCCTATATCCCAGAGCATTCTGGGAAGCTACTGCACAGAAGCCTTCATGGTCTCTTACCTCTGGCTTGGGCAGGTGCGGTTCCTGGAGCAGCAGAACAAAGTCCTGGAAACGAAATGGAGCCTCCTGCAAGACCATAAAACCACCAGAGCCAATATCGAGCCCATGTTTGAAGCCTACATCAACAACCTGAGGCGGCAGCTGGACTGCCTGGGAGGAGAGCGGGGGAGGCTGGAGATGGAGCTGAAGAACATGCAGGACGTGGTGGAGGACTTCAAGAACAAGTGAGTAGAGGCTCAGCCAGCTCCTGGGCCAGAGTCCTGCCCTAGGGCTCTGGCAGAGACCAGCGACAGCAGAGAAATAGGCTCTGCTCTTCAGAGATGCCCAGTCCAGTGGGGAATGAGATGCACAGCTGGGGCACGGGGTGGACTAGAAATAGACACAAAAGTCGAATGAGAACTGGGACCCGGTGGTCAAGAATGTCGAGGTCTTAGGGAGGAGCTAGAATTACAGATGACGATGATTGACATGGGTACGAAGGGCTAGGTAAACACAACTCTGCAGATGAAGAAAGTCAGGCTCTGAGGTGGCAACTCATGAGGTAAGGGTTAAACCCAGAGAATCTCACTGGCATATTTATTCAACCAAATTCCAGGGCTCCTTGACAGTCTTTATGCATTATGGCCCTGGCCAAGAAGCTGAAGGAACAGAGAAGAAAGCCTATTTGCAGACTTCCCTCAGGACTATCTGCACACATGCATGCTCAAGCACGCACGTGTGCACGCTCACGCACACACACACACACACACACACACGCACACACACACACACACACACACACACACACACACACACACACACACACACCATTAAGGGTCATGGTATGCTCATGCCCATAAACATGAGTTTCTTATTTTTGCTTTTTATTTTTCTTGTTCTAATTGATTTCCAATTATCTTAGCCCAACCAAAATTAGTAACTTGATAATGAGTTTCGGTTACTGTTTGTAGAAGTGAGAGTTCAGGACTCTAAAACAGAATCCTGCTAAAACCTAACCAACATGGTAGCCACTATCCACATGTAACTATTTTTTTAAGTTTATGCGATTTTATTGATCAATTATACCTCAAGAAAACTGATCAGTGGTGGACACATATTGACTGAATTTAATATGACATAGTTAATTTGTCAAAAGATCAAGTTCATGTGCCAGACTAAACAAAAACACAAAATAGTTATTATAGGGTTAGAAACTTGAACTTCGAAAGTTCAAAGTCTTGGTTTCTCCCCTCTCCTGCTCTTATTTTGTTTTTTAAATCAATGCTGTTAATCTTCTTATTGTCTGGATAAGAGTCTTTCTGAAACTTCCCTTGTTACATTTAAATTTATTAAATAAAATTTAAAATCCCATTCCTCAGTCACACTAGCTGCATTTTCAGTGCTCAATCACACATGTTAATGGTTCCTGTAATGAACAAAGATACATAGCATTCTATCATTGCAAAAGTTCTATCCGACAGTGCTATAGAACCTAGTCAATGGCACTCTCTAGCTGAACGATCTCAAGAAAACTGTTTAACTTCTCCAAACCCCAGTTCATCTGCTATAGGGGTGACAATAGTGCTCCACTTATAAGGGAGTTGAGAATATTAAATCAAAACTTGCATGGAAAGTGCTTGGTAGAGCACCCAGTGCTTGACATAGTAAGTCCTTAAATGTTATCTATTTTGATTGTCCTTATGACTAGGCATCTGTGTGTGGTGATTCAGACCAAGGTAAGACCAAGGTAAGACCAAGGTGCAGATGGGTAATTTATAATGCACGTACAAACATGGGGTAACAGGGTTTTAATCCGAGAAGGCTTTCTGGAGGAAGAGGAGACTAAAGCTGAAAGCACAGGGGGAGGGATGTGGGATCTGTTGAAGAGCATGTTCCTGGTTAATAGCCAGGCAGTGTTCCTGTGGGATCCAGGTGGCCTGTGCAGCAGAGGGACTATGAGCTGGGAGACATCAAAGACAAGGACAGTGGCATGGAGTCAGGTGAAGAAAAA